GAGAGAGAGAGAGAGAGAGAGAGAGAGAGAGAGAGAGAGAGAGAGAGAGAGAGAGAGAGAGAGAGAGAGAGAGTTGCTAGTTTGGTGGTGGGGATGATGGGTAAATAGCATCAGAATTCCTATAAACTTTCGTGTGTCCATCTCCGTTGGAACAGGAAGGGCTTCTTTGTTTTGTGCCTGTCCAACTCAGGGGAAAAAAAAAAAAAAGGGAAAGACGGAGTACCAGGCTTGTAGCATGATGGCAAGTACTTGAGAATGGTGACTTTAGACAGAAAACAAGCGAAAAGAGAAAAAGGAACAAGACAACAATAATGAGGAGAGGGGTAGTTTGATGTTAGGTAGGGTCTTCTCAGTCATCTTCACCTGAAAAAGCGCCAAAGCTCGCTTTCTCTGCCCGATCTTCCCGAATCCTCGGATGCCGGCAGCGTACGTGAAGTGGTTAGGAGTACAGCCTGCTCTCCCCATCTCGTCCCACAATAAAGCCACCATTCGGCCCTCACCATCCTTCTCACAAACGCGAATAGCCGCGCTGTAAGTGACAACGTCGGGCTTGATGCCAACTTCTTTCATTTCATTGATCAATCCGACGGCCCACAGCCAACCCTCTTCTTCCGCGTGCCTGCAAGCCGAGATGGCGATGTTATACACTTCAACATTTGGCCGGATCCCTCTGCGAGTCATTCTCTTGTGCACCCGCATGGCGCGCTCAAACCTCCTCTCCTTCTTGCTGTTAACTGCAGCATTGATCATTGCACTCCAGGTGTACGCATCTGGTTCACACCCTGCGTAGGCCATCTGCTTGAACACCCCGTTAGCGAGGTCCCACCTTCCAGCACGCCCCAGGCAATCAATCAGAGTGTTTTCGACGACGGAAGATGATTGATTTCCTGAAACTGACACGCCTCTTCTATCCGTGTCAATCGATTCCAGCTGTCTACCTATACTTCTCTCTGGGAATCTCCCGTCCTCCCCTCCACCCCTCTCCTCCTCCATTCCTTCGTCCGAGGACAAAACCCTCCCCTTTTCAGATGGCCCATCGCTGTACACATTGCCATCGTCATCATCCTCTCTCTGCTTCTGACTGACAGAGTCCCTATATTTAACCACCTCCTCTTCCTCCTCCTCCTCCTCCTCCTCTTCCTCTTCCTCCTCTTCTTCTTCCTCCTCCTCCTCTTCGTCCTCCTCCTCTTCTCCCTCCTCCTCTTCCACCTGTTGATATTGCTCGCCTTTTCCACGCTCCACCGCATGACTACCGTCGATGTCAAAATCCTCTTCATCGTCAGACGACTCTTCCGTGGGTCGCGACCAAGGATCCAACGAATCTTCCATGGGTTTAAGCCGAGGTTCAGACGTACACCCAGCAAGCGCGAATGGAGGCTCAGATGACCAATCAGACGACCAATTAGCAGGCTTGGATGAAGGTTCGGCAGAACGTTCAGCGGAAAGTACAGTCTTGGACCGCACCGACCCAGATTGGGCTCGGGGAACGTCTGACGATGTAGAGCTTTCCTCGGCTGCCTGTTGCCGTAGCATGTGGTAGAAGTCGAGGGCAAGTGCCCACCTGCCAGCATAAGCGCAGACGCAAACTAGCCCCCTGATCATAGGGGAGGTTATATTCACCCCCTCCTTCACGGCCTCCCAGTACACGTCGAGCGCGAGATCGCATCGGCGCGCCTTGACGAAACTGCTCATGAAGAGCGAGTAGGTACCCAGGCTCTTCCTAACCTGGCCCTCTTGCATTTCCCTCCACACCTTCTCCACCTGATACCATTTTCCCGCGCCTGCTAAACCCGTAATCAACGTGTTGTAGACCACGACATCTGGTTGGTTCCCGTGGCGGACCAGGTCTCGAAACACGGACATGGCGTCTTTCCAGCGGCCAGCCCTTGACAGAGCTTGCATGACCGACGTGAAGGTGTAGAGGTTCGGTTCCAGCCCCGCCTTCCGCATCATCCTATACACTCTCAGCGACTGCTCAAAGGGTCCGTTTCGCGAGAAGGCGGCAATTAAGGAATTGTAAGCGACCACGTCCAGGTGTCGATTCCCGGGCAGTATCTCCCCGACACTCCCATCCTTTTTTCCCCGTGCTGCTGCTCCTGTCACCCCTCCTCCGTCCTTACCTCGTCTATAATCTCCTCCTCCTCTTCCTTGTGCTTCCTCTACTTCAGGGAACCTGCTGGTAGCGTCAACATCAGCCTCAATGACCTGTTGTTCCCGCCTGTGGACCCACAAACAGACCCTCATGGCTTGATGCCATCTTCCGCAACGGCAGAGATCAATAACCACAGCAGAAGCGGTGGCACAATCGAGGGGTGAGTACGTGAGTTTCTCAAAGCGCGCCAAAATGGCGTCCACCTCCTCCACCTGGTCAACCCGGAGTTGGCCAACGGCTTGCTTCAATATGGAGATGTATGCCTCCCCATGCCTCATGACCGGACTGCCCCACCCTCCCTTTAATATACCCCTGGCCCTCTTTCTTTCCTCCCGCCCGCTGCCACCTATTCCTCCTCTACCTCCCCCTCCTCCTCCTCCTCCTCCTCCTCCTGCTGCTCTTTTCACGTCGTTTTCATCACCCTGCTCAGTTGCATTCCATTCATCATCGTTGCTTCTTGGTCTGCTCACATTCCCCCGCTTCTCTGGTATTGTGCCGGCTTTCTTCTCTCCATAGCGCCGGTTCTTATAACCAGCTGCCTCACGAGAGGAAGAAGAAAAAGAAGAAGAAGAAGAAGAAGAAGAAGTTTGACGCAGAGAAAGCGCTTCATCTACCATTTGTAACATGTGCTGCGTGCGATAAGGCGATGGAGGAGTAGGATAAAGAGGCGGCAAGGACCGTCGAGGCTTCGTCATTGTCGCCGGCCTAGTCGTTTCCTGCCGGGTGTCATTTCTGGAAGGTGAGCGCCTTTGCAGTGCTTGTTGCTGCGGTCTTTTCTCACGAAACGAAGGAGAAGGGTCCCTCTGCCGCCCCTCTCCCACTTCGTCCAGCTTCCCCTTCTCCTTCGTCTCCTCCTCCCCTTCCTCCACGAAGCCATGGTGATGGTGAAAGCTGCCATGTCTCGACGATGACTTGTCATCTCCTCGTGCCCCTTTGCATTGCAGGCTCGCACTCCTACTCCTCTTACTTCCGCTTCTCCACCTGTCTATGTCTCCTTCAAACAGACATAGCCAGCAACCCCGGTGGTTGGCCACACTTTTTGCTGCTGATGTGTCACGATGATGATAGCTGCCCATCGAGCGCAGCAAGTTCCTCGACGACTCATGTTGTGTCCCTTTGTAATCGTTTGGAAATCGACAAGATGGGATATCGATTCTGAATACCCGCCGGCATTGTCGCAGACGAGGAGTCGCCCGCACATGCACACCGAAGAAGGATGACACGTCCGCAGCCGACATTGCCACGTAGCCAGCCCGGAGGCTGGCCGACATTGCCACGTGGCCAGCGTGGACACTTGTTGTCGCCCCCGTATGGGTATGGGAAGAAGTGTTGGTTCTTACTGATGCAGGAGAGCAAGGAGGAGGAACAACAGGGACGACGAGAGAAGTGCTGGCATCCATAGGCCAGGATGCGAGGGGAAGGGAGAGGGTAGGGAAGGGGAAGAGATCTTCCCCTTGGGCGGAGTACCTGAGAATAGACTTGATAAGTAATAGGACTGGCAATTTGTAACTGGAAGTAAAGACCGCCGGAGGCACCCTTCTCTGGGCACGACCACCCCTCCCCTTTCGCCTCCTTGTGAAAGGACCGACATTCCCAGAAGGCCGATGAGAAAGAAGGGAACTTCGCCTACCTCTCCTAGCTCCCAATCATATAAGTCAATCATCCACCCATCATCTACTCCCTCGTGCTTCTTATGTCATGTTATCAGCTAGCAAGCGACGCCGTTCATTCTTTACAAGGAGGCGTCCAGGTGTGCCTGCGCACGTGCGTTCCTGGGTCCTAGTTCACGTGCATGTGCGAGAGAGAGAGAGAGAGGAGGAGGGGGGAGAGGGGCGGCGTCGGGGGAGAGAGAGAGAGAGAGAGAGAGAGAGAGAGAGAGAGAGAGAGAGACCCCGGCTATTGAGAAAGTTTAATGCTTGTCCATCGAAAATGGCTGTTCAGCGGTATCAGTCGGCTGCTGTTCAGAAATATTAGTGGAGGTGGAGGACGGCGAGGCACGCCCATGAGGAAAAGAACTCGTTGTCGGATAAATTTGAATTTCGCGCCATATCCAACTGCTCCATTGCAAATTAGTTCATCGGGGGAGGAGGCCGGGATTCACAGGATAGTCGCGCGACTCCTACAACTAGATACAGGACATCATTGCCCTTGTGGGAGTTAGGGCCTCGTTCGACACCACTTGAACTCAAGGGTTGACGGAAAATTCTTCGTTCCACCCCACCCTAATGACCCCGCCGTAATGTTTTCACTTTCCTGCTCTCAAGTGTGCATACTTGAAACTCAAGTGCTTCTGGGGCAAGATCGCACTTGAACTCAAGGTACCTCCCGGAGGTACCTTGAGTTCAAGTGCCAGCGGATACCGCCAGCACTCCAAGTGGTTTTTTCTTTTTGTTTTTCTCTTTTTCCACCTGGCGACCCTGGTCCAGAATTGGTCAAACCCTGGAGTTTGGTTTCAAGTCCAGCCTGTTCAAGGGTTTCCTCAAGTGTACATGGAACCATAAATCGAGTAAGTGTAATTTAATCACAATTTCTCGTTTAGTGTGCACTTGAAACTCAAGTATTTTCAAGTGGTGTTGAACGAGGCTCTTACTCCCTCTCCCTTCCACGCAGCTCTTCTCTGTGCAAACGGAGGTCATCCGGGGTTTGCCAGTCGGCGAAGGTAGTTCATATTCTAGGTTGGATTGCGGAGTTAGGCGCAGAGCCTCCCGTAAACCCGGAGGCCTCCGCTCCTGTAAGCCTGGAGGCCCAGCCCTGGGCATTTCAGTTGTGGTGGGGTAGCGGTTGATGCTCAACTGCAATCAGGGTTAAAGTCGAAAGTACTATTTACAGTGTCGGGTTAAAGTGGGAATTACCATGTACAGTGTTATCAATGAGGAGACTCTGCATACTGTAGAGGATTCCGCCTCCATATAATAGTCGTTGCACTCGGACGAAACAATTTGTCACACCCCCTCGTTTCCTATCCTTTTTTCCCTTTCCTACTACGTTTCATCGGCCAGTTCTAGCCGACTAGCTGACTATGCGTACATAAATAGATAAATAGATATAGTCATATATCGTCAAACAGAACAACCCGGTAAATCGTAGGCAAAGAGGGAGAAACAATGTCACAACCCTATGTTCATTGTTTTTGTTTTCCCTTCTGCCTACCGTTCGCCAGGCAGTTGTTTGTAAGAGTCTCAGAGGGCATACTCACACTAGCACTATGAATAAAACAGATACAATCCTGACCGTTAATAAAATAAACCAGATACAATTTTGGTCATCAATAGAATAAATCATATACAATTATAACAATCAATAGAATAAACCATGTATAATTTTGCCAATTGATTGAATAACGTCCTTACTTCCCTGGACAAATGGACAACCTACGACAAAACGTTTATGACAAAGCTTGCACCGCCTTGCAGAGGAAAAAGATACCCAACCAACAAAGCAATTCAAATTCAAGGAGGATTTGACATACATAATATCCCCCCATGTCACACACGAATGAGTAATTCATAAATAATAAATAATAGCTTTGTCATAAACGTTTTGTCGTAGGTTGTCCATTTGTCCAGGGAAGTAAGGACGTTATTCAATCAATTGGCAAAATTATACATGGTTTATTCTATTGATTGTTATAATTGTATATGATTTATTCTATTGATGACCAAAATTGTATCTGGTTTATTTTATTAACGGTCAGGATTGTATCTGTTTTACCCAACCAACAAAGCAATTCAAATTCAAGGAGGATTTGACATGCATAATATCCCCCCATGTCACACACGAATGAGTAATTCATAAATAATAAATAATAACTTTGTCATAAACGTTTTGTCGTAGGTTGTCCATTTGTCCAGGGAAGTAAGGACGTTATTCAATCAATTGGCAAAATTATACATGGTTTATTCTATTGATTGTTATAATTGTATATGATTTATTCTATTGATGACCAAAATTGTATCTGGTTTATTTTATTAACGATCAGGATTGTATCTGTTTTAAAAAAAAATTAAAAAAAATCGTAAAATCCGAAAAAAAACTATGTTATGCAGAAAAGTAAAGTGAACAACTTTTGCCTCAGGGTTATATTGAAATTCTTTACCAAATTTAAAATACAAATTTTAATTAAAAAAAATATTTTATTATTATTATTTATGTTTTGGGTCCGGGCGACCAGATGGACCCGGGCCACTCCGGTAGCCTAGTGTAAATGTGATCTCTTGTTTTTATTATTTTTTTTCTTCTCCTCTTTTTTTTTGGTGGGGGGGACGGTCAATTTTGACATTTCATCAAGATTATGCGTGTCATCCTTGCACTGGGGTGGACGTCATCCTTGTCTTCTCTCACTATATCGTTCCAAAATTTTGAATGGATGTTCCAATAGAATGCTATACCTGTTTTCGTTCTTTGATAGTCTTACAATTTTCATTTTTTATTTTTTGACCAGGATTAATAAATTTTCTTACACATAAAAAAAAACAATAAAAAAAGTGGCGTGTCAATCGGTACCAAATTCTTAAGCATTAAAAAAATGTGAAGTTCAGTTGAAGTAACATGCGGAGCGTATCAGATTACTCTTAACTCTCTCAACATATTCATACAACAGAAAGCCTATCAAATCATCTGGCATGAAAACAAAAGACAGCGAAATACTATGACTTAAAGTAAAGTGGTAGTATTACACACAATTTTTTGTTGATGCAGACGACGTACTACGTCTGCCCGTTCGGCTTGTAAACATAAGACTGACATAATACGTCATACTCGTCTTCACCCGAATAGAAAGTTCGGTCATTATAATTGTATTCGGTGTAATTTTTAGTGTAGATGAAGTGATAATGACCGGGCGTTCGACTCGGGTGAAGAGGGTAGTGTTCTATAATTATGATACCATAATAAATAATAAGGACAATGCTGATGTGCTTGCTACGTTATTCGGCCAGAGAACGTAAGAATAACATGATATGTCCTACTTTTTTTTACCCGAATAAAAAAACTCAGTCATTATAATAACTGCATTTGATGCAATTTTCAGTCTAGATACAATGATAGTGACTGAACGTTCTATGGGGATGAAGACGGTAGTGATATATTATTACGCCATAATAAATAACAAGGTCAATGTCGATGTGCTTGCTACGCCTTTTGTTATTGGTTATTTCCACTTTGTAGTGCACATGTGTCGTCTACCATTGTGCATCTCTATCTTGTGTCGTTAAAGGTGTACCAGTTTGCGCCCCTACCTTATGCCTCAATTTGAGTAGTGTATCAATAGAAGGGTTGAGTTCCTTGATGTTGTTGAATCAAGGAGAGGTGGGGAGGAAATGAGGCGACATGACAAGAGTTTGTGGTGACATGATACTAAAACTCACATCTTCTTCTTATTCTCTTTCTAAATTTTTCATTTTATGTGTGTGAATTGAGTGTACAGTAGTATACACTGTGAAACTTTGTGTGCCCAATAGTAAATATTGCTAAGCACTGTGTGCTGTCATATCCAACATTGCTTATGAAACCTTCCGTACCCAGTTGGAATAGAATATGCCTCATATTTTTTTCCCCGACATACAATGTACCACATTTTTTTGTTGTATTTGGGGTATCTTTTTAGTCTCAGTATAACTATAATGATCGTACGTTGTATTCGAGGGAATAAGGTAAGGTATGGCAACACATGCATGTACATCCGTGCAGGTTTCGCATGCGAGTTTGATGAATTTGATACTCATTTTATTCTTAGGAAATATTTCGACCCTTTTGTGTGAAATATGTTGATTGTTGGCATAAGCAATTTTTTTTTATTATTATTTTTTTTATGTTACAAAATTATTATTTATTATTTATGAATTACTCATTCGTGTGTGACATGGGGGGATATTATGTATGTCAAATCCTCCTTGAATTTGAATTGCTTTGTTGGTTGGGTATTTTTTTCCTCTGCAAGGCGGTGCAAGCTTTGTCATAAACGTTTTGTCGTAGGTTGTCCATTTGTCCAGGGAAGTAAGGACGTTATTCAATCAATTG